CTCCAACCCAGAACCCTCTGGTCCTGGTTCCCCCCGGGACTCCAACCCAGAACCCTCTGGTAGAAAAGTTCCGGCAGCTTTTTGATAAAAACACATGTTCCTTTTGGGTTAAACGCTTTCTCACTTTAGTCTGAATCAGCTGGTTTTTACATCAGGATACGAGGAGGCACTTTAAAGAGAGCGTCGGGCTATATTGCTGCCATTTCCAAAGAAAGAAAAAAAGAAGCCAGCTAAGAGGTGACAAAGACGTGTTCACACCTCCTACGAGGTGTTGCATTTTCTTCTCCTTCCTCTGTGATGCGTTAAAAACTTTAAGAGACTCAGACCCTAAAAGCACGCACCTGCTTTAAAATAGCTCTTTGTTGTGGTGCTGGCTGTTTGGACCAACCCCCTCTGAGCCAGGGACTCTTTAACCGGAGGGGGGGGGGGGGGGGGGTATCGTGGCCTGCCTGGAAACCGACCAGACGAGTCGGGCCTTTTCCGGGTGGCCATTCTGAAAACACACCCCCTGAGCCTCTGAGTTCCAGGAAAGCAGCGTTTTGTACACAGAATTTCATTTCCTGCTTCTATTTTTTGACAGTTTAACAGTGAAGATAATCGGACAGGCTGGATTTCAGCAGAGATGTTCGACAGCTGAACCTAAAAAGTGCGGGCGGTTGAGCGGAAATGCAAACTATGACCTCGTTCTGCATCTTTTTCCCCCCTCGCAGAGGCATCCGGCCCCTATTGGTGGAAGTCTGCACTGCCTTTAACCAGTAACGTCTGCAGCCATACGGCTCATTTCCTTATTCTGCGGAAGACGGAGACGGATGAGTCAGCGGGGAACCCGGGCGGGGCGCGGCTCCTCGAAAGAGAGCGACCAGCTGCACGGAAACCGTTCAGAGAGGGTCCCACGAGCGGCTCGGTACCAGGAACAAACGCCTTAAACAGGCCAAACACGCAGCTTCCAGCTCACCGGGTCCTCAGGGCTGAGGGAGGCCTCCACCGGCCGGGTTTGAAACGGGCATTGCCTTGGTAACACATCTATGTAAGGCAAGGCAAGTTTATTATAAGGCACATTTCCTGTACAAGACAATTCAAAGTGCTTCACAGAGAATTTAAAAGCAGAAAAACAAGAAGAATAATCTAAATTAGACGGATGTAAAGTGAAGGAACAGATAAAATACTTCCAGTTTCCATATTACAGTTTAACAAAAGCGTTTTCATCTGGATTTAAACAATTTCAGAGTTGAAGCCTGTCTCACATCTTCAGGAAGATTGATCCAGATTTTAGGTTGGACCCCGTCAGGAGACCAGAACCTGGTTTAGTTCTGACTCTGGGCCCAATCAGGAGACCAGAACCTGGTTTAGTTCTGACTCTGGGCCCCATCAGGAGACCAGAACCTGGTTTAGTTCTGACTCTGGGCCCCATCAGGAGACCAGAACCTGGTTCTCAGAGTCCAGCTGCTCCATCTGGCTCTAACAGGTCAGACCATGAAGAGACTTGTACACGAGCAGAGCTGTTTTAGAGTCTGTTCTCTGAGAGACCGGAGGCCAGTGGGGGAAGTGACGGTGTGAGGCGGTGCTTGTCGGTTTGTTTCAGGTCCGGCAGTCCAGGAACGAGCGGCTCTGGTGTGAGAAGAGCATCTGGGTCCACAGCGGCTTTTCTCATCCGTCAGTTCTTCGGATCTCAATTCGTGACCGACGGACCTGGAACCAAAAAATAGGGTTAAAAAGACACTGACCAAAAGAGTAAAAAGGGATTTTTTAAACAAAATTTAAAAAAAGACAGCTAAAACAAATAGCTTTTTCTAATAGATTCAGCCGTCTTTCTGATCTGGTGTTGAGGAAAAAAAGGCCTCATTTGGCTAGCTAGCATTAGCTAGCATTAGCATTGGGTCTAAAGTGGATCGAGCATGCTTTGAGCCGTCAGAGGAACCACGGAAACGCCCCCGACGGGGTCCTCCAACCAGAGCCGCTCCTTCCTGAAACGAACCGGCAGGCGCCGCCTCACGCCGTCACTTCCTCTTACGTAGACGCGTTACCGCGGCAACGGCTGACAGATGCTCTGCACACGGCCGCCTGTTTCAAACCCGGCCGGCGGAGGCCCCCTTACCCCTTAACCCTTTAAAGCCTGATCCAAGAATAAAACAAAACAGAAAATTACTTTTTTTTTGTTTTAACAAAATATGACAAAAGAAAAAACTAAAATAACATTTTAATATTAATAATTTATTACTATGCGATCAGTCAAGATTATTTTTTGTGTAGTCTTCTGCCCCCTGTTATCAGGTGTATCTGATT